GATTCAACTACAGTTATATCTAGATTCTATCTTTAACTCAAAATAATTATTTTTGATAAAGAAGAGACAAACATATAAGTCACACGAGTCAAAATCAATCTAGAAGCGAGACAAAAAAAAAATGCCAAAAGTCAATTGCTATTTTTATTTTTTGTCTTCCAAATAATGTTTCTTTTCGTCTACGTTGAAGCAATCAAGCCAATAGCAATCGCAATTAGGTATTTAAAGTCTTTATTTGTTCTATTAAAATAATAATCGGTTTGTAATTTCTTTCCTCATTCAATTGTCTTTCTTTTTCTTAATTGCTATGTCATCCATTTCAATTTGGATTAAATCTGAATTTTAATTTTTTTATTATTGAAGAAGCACGTGTGAAATTGGGGGAAGGAGAAATTTGGACTGAACTAAAAATAACTTTTATGAAGAAAGGACTAAATTATAATTTTATAAAGAAGAGAGACTGAATAGTAATCCTTCAAAATTACTATCATTCACACAGCAAACACTCCACACTCACGGAGACACACAACATTGAACTTCCATGGCTATTTATAGCCAATACAGTGAAGAACAAAACAAGCATTTTTTTTTTTTTTCTTTCGTCAAATGGTTGGTATAGGCGGTTATGGTTCTAAAATCGGACCGAATGATCAGTTTAATCGGAAATCGGACAGTGGTCTGGTTCAGATTACATAAAAAAATGAGCACCTTTAAAAATCGGTCTAAATCGGTAATATAATAGCACCTTCAAAGTGCTATTATATTAATTAAAACAATTAAATTTCTCGACTTTAAAGCCAAATGTTAAAATTAATATTATATTTTATTGTAATTAATTAATTTTTTTATTTTAATTGTAATTTAAATTAATTTTTTTTAGTATTAAATTTAGTCATAATTTTCTCTTTTTTTAAATTATTTATTAATTTTTTAAATGGCTTTTTTTTATAAACCAAAATTTTGAGAAATTTTTTTTTATTTGATATCAAGTTTTTTTCTAATACTTTCCAATAATTAATTTTTTTAGTATTAAATTTAGTCATATTTTCTCTTTTTTTAAATTATTTATTAATTTTTTAATGCTTTTTTATAAAAACCAAATTTGAGAATTTTTTTTTATTTGATATCAAGTTTTTTTTTTCTATACTTTCAATTTTATTTAAAAATATTATACATAAAAATCCGGTTGAACCGTGTTGAATCCGGTTGAACTCTCCAATTTAGTACACTCCTATCTTCACTGGTTCATTGATCAGTACAGTTTTCAGAATACCCATACCAACCATTGAAGTTTTCTTTTCACATTTTATTTATTTCCTTGACTTATTTTTTTATTTCTTTTGTCCATTTTGTGGGATCCACCATGTTGGCAGGATCTCTATTTTTGACTAATAAAAATTTTTTTTTTTTTTTTATTTTTTGTTGAATTTAATATCACATGTTGGATTTATGTAAGAACGTTCAATTTGCGTAATGTTAAATTTTCTCAAAAATCAACTTTTTTTTATGGTTTACCGTTCAACTTGCAATAAAAGAACAAAAAAGTCCATTTTTTAAAGAAAGACAATTTTTAATATTTTTTAATTAATAAATTTATTCAAAAATTTTTAATTTACAAGAGAAAAAATTCTTTTAAAAAATAATTACAAAAATTTATAGTGTAATTAAATAAATATTTCATTTAAAAAATTATAAATCATATATTGAATATTTGGTTTGAAAAATATTTATTATCTTTTAATTATATTTTATTTTAATCAAATATTCCATTATTTAATTGATTTCAATTAAAATATTTATTTTATTTAAAAATAAAGTTTTTTAGAAAATGAGTTTTTTATTTTTTTTTTTTACAAATTTAAGGAGTAAAGCGAATAAAAAATTAATTGTTGAGTAAATTGTATATTACTTCTAAATTTAAGGGAAAATGAGCTTAATTCCTTAATGAAATGAGCCTGAATTATTTGGTAACATCCATTTGTCATATCAGAAATATTTCGACATGTGTAAACTTGCTTGGCATTTCCTTGCAATGCATCATATTAATATGGTACTAATTAGTAATAATATTGTTATTTGTAGGAATAAAGCTTAATTTATCGTCTAAACTTAAAAATAATATTCAATTTACCTAGGAATTAATTTTTTTATAATTTATTTTTTTAATTTGCACTAAAAGAATAAAAAGCTAATTTTTCATAAAAATTAATTTTAAATATTTTTTACTAATAAAAATTATTTTAAAGTTTAAAATTAGGGAAAAATTATTTTAAAATGTAACAATAATTATAAAAAAAATTATAGTGTCTTGTCTTTGATTTAAAAAATAAAAAAATTTAATTTAAAAATTATAAAATTAGAAAAATATTTGACTATATGATTGGTATAAAAAATATTTATTATTTATCATTTAAATACTTCTTAATTGTATTTGATCTAAATCAAATATTTAATTATTTTTAATTTAAATTAAATATTTACTTTATTTTAAGTAAAAAATTGGATTATTTATTTTTTTATTTTTAAATTCAGGGGATAAATCGTACGAAAAGTTGATTTTTTGATGATTTTTAGACAAATTGAATATTGCTCTTAAGTTCAGGAAACAAATTGAACTTCATACCTTATTTGCATTTATTTCATTTTTATAAAGAAATAAACCATATATAATATTTAATTTTATTTATTATTTGATATAAAGCTGATTTTATGAATTAAAAAAACTCAATTCAAAATTTTCAAGAGTATAACTTAAGGATATTAATTTCTTCCGATTAAGGAAATAAATCTAATTCTTAGTTTTCTCTTTAATATTATACTATTAAAAGATTGTTGGAAAGCCCATTAAAATTTTCTTATCTCACATGGGAACCTTTTATATTTATCACCCTTTAACAACAGTGTGGTCATAAAAAAAAAAATTGCAAGATTGTAACTATTACTAAGGCTGTTCGGCAATAACTTTTAATTAATTTTTAGCATTTTGATAAAGTTTAAACTCTATTTTTGTTAATTGTAGCGTTTGGTAACAAAGTGTTTATTCTAGTAACTTTTAGAGGTTTGTTAAATACTCTAACATTTAGCCTTTAACATTTAACATTTATCTTTTGCATTTAATATTTAGCTTTTAATTAATTTTTTTTGACAATCATACTATTGTTTTTTTTTCTTTCGAATTCAGCTAATTAAACAACTAATTTTTTTTTTGTTATTTTAAGTTAAATAGCTAATTGAACAGTTATTTTTTTATCGAATACTTCTAATTTAAACTGTTATATAAAAAGCTGCCAATTAAAAAGCTAATAGCTAACAACTAACCCCTAATTAGGGGTGTGCAAAACAACCGATCGAACTGAACCAAAAATTCAAGCGATCCATTTCGATTTGATTCGGTCAGCTATTCAAGAGAGGTTCGGATGGTTAATTCATTCGGCTTGAATCGATTTTTTAGAAATTCATCGGTCGGGTTTAAATCGAATCAACATGACAAAAGTTGACTAAAATCAGTCGAATCTACTGGTTCGATTCAAATGTCAAATTCGATCCAATTTGGTCCATTGTCTAAAAATTTCGATTTGCATTTTCTGACTCCGGTCGGTTTGAATTGAACTGATTGTTTGCATACCCCTACATCTAATAAAATAATTAACATATACTACAACAACTAACAGCTGTTAAAACAGTTAATATAATATTGTTGAATAGACCCTTAATCTTTTTATTTTTATGCTTTTAGTCTTCTTGCAGATGGATGAATGGGTTTTGTTTAATAATGGTGGACAAAGCATACATTGCAACTGTTTGTGCCAAGACCACTTTCATTTCTTGGTCAATTGCTTTGATTTCTTTGCGACTTTGAGGCTCAGGTTCCCAGAATTTGCCTTTGCTAACCCTATTTTGGCTACTCTGGCATTTAACTGTTCTTTGCTTGCCAATTGCACAATAGCTTTTCAATTTCATCGTTATGGTAGACACAATTAGATAAAGAATGAATGACTGAGTAAATTAATATTAATTATATAATGATTTCTTTGTGCCTTTCAAGTCATTTAATTATTAGTAGCTTGAAAATTAGACAATAGTTTTTCAATTTCATTGTTACGAATAGATAATTATAGTATTAATTAAATAATGGTGTTAATGTTACCATCTTTTCATTTTTAATGTCATTCTGATTATTTACATATTATTATCATATTAATATTAATGAATATTAATTAAATACTTATTTCCAATGTAGTTGTCATGGATCATGGTGACATGGTCTTTGAATAAAATATATATAGACAACCAACGAAGAGAAAAGTAAAAAAAAGAGAGAAATAGAGAGAAATATGAAGAACCACGCTAAATATTTTATTCAGTAAATACAAATTGTTCAACCAGCATTGCTTTCGTTGTTCAAGTCAGTCTTGCCTTCATCAATATTATATGATTCCTGTATTACGGCCAAAAATACCACATTTCAAAAGAAAAGTATTCTTTTCTAGATTAATTGTTCACATCTCTTCTAGTTTTTTTGATGACAAAGTTCTTCATATCATTTATGTAATAATATAAAGCAATGCAACAAGATGAAAAGAAGCAAGAACCAATGGGAAACTATATAATTATAGTACTCATTTTCTGCCTTTCTCTCACCTCCACCTTCATAATATCCGTTTCCTTGGACACTATATATCCAAATGAAACTATTAGAGATGATGAAACAATAGTTTCAGCTAATGGCAACTTTGAACTTGGGTTTTTCCGCCCAGGAGCATCTAAATATCGATTCTTGGGGGTGTGGTATAGAAAGGTATCCAATGGTACCGTTGTTTGGGTTGCAAATAGACAAACCCCACTCACCGATTCATCTGGCCTTTTAAAGTTAAACGACAATGGGCTTCTCGTTCTGCTCAATCAGAATAATACAATAATTTGGTCTTCCAATTCATCGAGGGTGATAACTAATAAATATCGAATTCTTTGGGGGTGTGGTAACTAGAAAAGGTAATCCAATGGTACCGTTGTTTGGGTTGCAAAATAGACAAACCCCAACTCACGCGATTCATCTGGCCCTTTTTAAGTTAAACGGACCAAATTTGGCTTCTCGTTCTGCTCAAATCAGAATAATAGATTCATCTGGCCTTTTAAAGTTAAACGACAATGGGCTTCTCGTTCTGCTCAATCAGAATAATACAATAATTTGGTCTTCCAATTCATCGAGGGTGATAACTAACTCAGTTGTGCAGCTTTTAGATTCAGGAAATCTTGTTATCAGAGCCGAAAATGATCTAAACCCAGAAAATTTCTTGTGGCAAAGTTTCGATTATCCTGACAGAACATTTCTACCAGGAATGAAGATCGGAACTATAGCAAAAGGCTTGGATATACGTCTATCATCATGGAAGAGCGAAGATGATCCTTCTCCAGGTAAGTTTACATATCAGATTGATCCCAGAGTCTTAGAGTTAGTTATCAAAGAAAATTCAGCTGTCAAGAATCGATATGGGCCTTGGAATGGTGTTCAATTTAGTGGGCTAAATTATTTGGAACCAGGCACGCTTTTTAAATATACTTTAGTTTTAAACCAGAACGAGGGAGAATACTATGTTATTGATGACCCTGTTAACAGATCAGATTTTACAAGGCTGGTTCTGAATGTTGATGGTAAGACAAGCCGGTTCATATGGATTGATCGAACTGGCGATTGGAGTGTGTACGGATCTACACCAATAGACGACTGTGATGCTTATGCATTTTGTGGTGTTTATGGCAGTTGTGACAGTAGAAAAACACCTATTTGTAGTTGTCTGGATAGATTTGTGCCCAAATATGAAAAAGATTGGGATGGAGGTGACTGGATAGGTGGATGTGTTCGAAGAATACCGTTGGATTGCAAGAAAGGAGACAAGTTTATAACGTACTCCAATGTTAAACTGCCTGACACGAAAAATTGGTCAACCAATGCAAGCTTGACGCTAGAAGAATGTAAGACGTTATGCTTGAAAGATTGTTCTTGCATGGCCTATGCAGTTTCAGATATAAAAAGAGGGAGTGGATGCTTCTTTTGGTATGGTGACCTTCTTGACATTAAACAATTAACTAAGGATGGGCAAGATCTTTACATTAGGATGGCTTCTTCTGAAACAGGTAATTGATTCACAAATAAGCATTCAACTTTGGACAGGAAAGAATTTAAGAAACAATTGAATAAGATATTGCAATTAGATCTTCTGTGAATCAAAATGTCTATCTCACAATTTTTTTCCCTTTTTCATGAATGCGTTATTTTTATACGAAGATGATAAGGATCCAAACGCTAATGGGAAGTCAAAAACGAAGGTCATAGCGGCCATTTTTTCAGTTGCTGGAGTGATCTTCCTAGGCCTGGCGTTCGCAATATTTGTTAGGAAAAGGAAGCAGCGGAAATACAGTAAGTTCCTTTTCTGCTAAGCTGTTATAATGCAAATCTCACGGACATGGAAAGAAGAGATGGTTTGATTATTTGTATTTTTTGTGGTTCTACTTTTTCAGGGACAATGATAGCCAATCTGGAAAGAAGTGCAAATAACAATAATAAAAGGGAAGACCTAGAATTACCACTCTTTGATCTGGGCACTATTGCTTCTGCCACCAATAATTTCTCCTTCTCCAGTAAACTCGGGGAAGGAGGGTTTGGACCAGTTTATAAGGTACAATCTGATGCGATCCACTTACAATACGAAGTCTTGAAATTGTTGTATTATTTTGTTATTTGTTCTCTTAGGAGTAGGACTGTCAGCACTGTATGACTCTATTTATTTATTTGTTAATCATTTTCAGGGAGTGCTGAAAAACGGGCAAGAAGTGGCTGTGAAGAGGCTATCAACAAATTCAAAACAAGGAGTTGATGAATTCAAGAATGAAGTTGTGTATATTGCTAAACTTCAACACCGAAATCTGGTGAAACTACTTGGATGTTGCATACAAAAAGATGAAATGATGTTGATCTATGAGTTCATGCCTAACAAAAGCTTGGCAAACCGAAATCTGGTGAAAACTACTTTGGATGTTGATACAAAAGATGAAATGATGTTGATCTATGAGTTCATTTGCCTAACAAAAGCTTTGGACCTTCTTTATTTTCGGTTTGTTTCCAAAACTAAACACAAATTTTTTTATTACGCTAAAAATTTTTATAACAGGAGCTCCAAAACCTCATAAGCCATTTTCTGACAGTAATGGTCTCAGCAAAAGGACAAATTTTTGACAGCCAGATCAATTGTCATTTTGAAATGGCTTGATGAAAGCAACGAGGGTTTCTCGTTTTCAATTCGAATATGCTACCTTTTTTTTATTATGCGTTTTGTATAATATTATGCGTTTGTTAATAGGCAAAATGTGCTGAGTTGGTTATGATATTGGGCAGATAAAACACACAAAATGGCGCTAGATTGGCCTAAGCGCTTCCACATTATCAATGGCATCGCTCGCGGACTGCTTTACCTTCATCAAGATTCAAGACTAAGAATAATTCACAGAGATTTGAAGGCCAGTAACATTTTATTAGATAATGAAATGAACCCTAAAATTTCAGATTTTGGCCTTGCAAGAAGTTTTGGAGGCAGTGAAACTGAAGCCAATACAAATAAAGTAGTGGGAACATAGTAAGCATTTCCTAAATGATATATATACGTTATTTACTTATGACTTTGATCCCATGAATATGATTTAATGTTCAGGAATTTCCTGCAGTGGTTACATGTCATTTACATGTCACCAGAGTATGCAGTTGATGGTCTCTACTCAACAAAATCTGATGTGTATAGCTTCGGAGTAATAGTCCTAGAGATCGTAAGTGGGAAAAGAAACAGAGGATTCAGTCATCCGGAACACAACCTTAACCTTCTTGGGCATGTAGGTGGTAACATTAATAATATGTTTTTGTCAACGAATAATCTATTATGGTAACATGTATTTAATTGTTCAGGCATGGAGACTGCACATGGAAGGAAGATCCGTTGAAATGATTGACGCTTTAATAAAAAATTCTTGTAATCTAAATGAAGTATTACGTTCAATTCATATCGGTTTACTTTGTGTTCAACGGAGTCCAGAAGACAGGCCGAGCATGTCAAGTGTGGTTTTTATGTTGGGTGGTGAAGGTGCTTTGCCTGAGCCTAAGCAACCTGGTTTCTTCACCGAAAGGGAGATAAGTGCAGCAAATTATTCAGTGCAGCAAATTTATTCCATCAAACAAATCAGCGACTCCAATCTTCCTGCTAATGGTCTCACTAGTAGATGTGTTCAACGGAGTCCAGAAGACAGGCCGAGCATGTCAAGTGTGGTTTTTATGTTGGGTGGTGAAGGTGCTTTGCCTGAGCCTAAGCAACCTGGTTTCTTCACCGAAAGGGAGATAAGTGCAGCAAATTATTCATCAAACAATCACGACTCATCTTCTGCTAATGGTCTCACAGTAACATTATTAGACGCGCGATAGATATATATCATGTCATGTCTACAGCAAGTGAAATACGTTATGGATGTCCTTGTTCTTTAATTGAATTAATTAATTAAACCATAAAACTTCATTTATGAATGAAGATATCACTGGATTTCGTGCAATTATTGAAATTCAATTTTTCCGTCTCTTTCTTTTTTTTTTTATTTTACAAATTATTGGACTTCAATTTAAAATAAAAGAATCAATTAATTTTTTCTTCATTTTAATAACATTATTGTCGCAAAATAAAAGAATCAAATAATTTAAAATACATAATTCATTCATTAGATATGCCGTTTTATGTAGTGAAAATATGCTTCTAAGAATTGTGGTTCATAACTACTGCATCAACCTAATATATTTTTTTTATACCAAATCTCCTTGAACAAAGGCAGGACACATTTTCACCTAACCGCTGCGGAAACGGCTACTATCTTTCTAGAATTTTAACAAATATTTTTCACTAATAATTTTTTTTAAAAGAAAAAAAAAATATTGGGTTTCTTATTTTTGCCCTTCCGATAAATGCCTGCCTGAAGCCTTATTCTATTTCGAATATCAGATGTAGAGTTTTATTAGAACTGAATTGGGCCGGGATCGGCCCATACTCATACTCCCATACTAAAAACGTCAACCAAAATCAACCTAACACCACAATTATGCAATAATGTCAAAGACGCCAGATTTGAATCTTGACTTGACTCTGATGGGTCCCATCAGAATGAGAAGTCCGATCCCCCTTCCCTTTTCTAACGGGAAAAGACTTAAACAAAGTCAAGTAAACACAGATACTCCTTTCCAGCTCCATTAAGCTGGAAATATGGTAATATATAAGAAATTAATTCATTTCATTAAACTAACAAAGGTGCAATGAAAGAAAAATCAATGGAGAGACTCTGCAAATTTCTTACTTTTTGCTTCTATCTATTGCTTATCACAGCAATATCCACTGTAGCTGACACCTTGAATATAACTCGATCTATTAGAGATGATGATGGCCTAGTTTCAGCCGGTGGAAGCTTTAGACTGGGATTTTTCAGCCCACTTGGCACCTCCAAAAATAAGTACTTAGGCATATGGTACAACAACTTACCTGGCCAAACTGTAGTTTGGGTTGCTAACAGAGAAATCCCCATCACTGATTCGTCCGGCGTTCTTCGGATCAGTGATCAAGGAATGTTGGTACTTACTGTTGGTAACGGGAGCATAATTTGGTCTTCTAACTCCACAAGAGCTTCAAGAAATCCCATCGCACAGCTTTTGGATTCAGGAAATCTTGTTGTTAAAAATGAGGGTGATGATAACCCAGAAAATTACTTGTGGCAGAGTTTTGATTACCCAACTGATACATTTTTGCCAGGAATGAAGCTTGGATGGAATAGAGAAAAAGGCTTGGGTCGATACCTTACACCATGGAAGACATCCGATAATCCTGCTCGAGGTAATTTTAGTTGTGGGGTTGATGCTGCTGGTTATCCTCAACTGGTTGTAAGAAAGAATTCAAAACTGGTTTTTCGAGCTGGATCATGGAATGGTCTTCGGTTTAGTGGCGCACCTGGATTAAAGCCAAACTCTATTTATACATTTGGGTTTGTTCTAAACGAGAAGGAGTTGTATTACCATTATGAGCTTCGTAACAGCTCTTTACTTTCAAGATCGATGATAAATAATGTCAATGGCCTTTTCCAACGCTTTCTTTGGAATGAGCAGACACGAGAATGGCGACTTTATTCTACAGTACAAATGGATAATTGTGATCAATATGCTTTGTGCGGTTCATATGGTAGCTGCAATATTAACAACTCACCCACCTGTAGTTGCTTGGAAGGATTTGAACCAAAAGTTCCAAAAGAATGGGACACGGTGGATTGGTCAAGTGGTTGCGTTAGAAAGATTCCACTGAATTGCGCCGGAGATGGGTTTCGGAGGTACTCTGCTGTGAAGTTGCCAGACACACAGAAATCCTGGTATAACAAGAGTATGAATCTTGAGGAGTGCAGAACCATGTGCTTGAAGAATTGCTCCTGCATAGCATACACAAATTTGGACATTAGAGGAGGAGGAAGTGGCTGCTTGATCTGGTATGATGATCTCCTTGATACTAGACACTTGGATGAAAATGGCCAAGATATTTACATAAGGATGGCTGCATCAGAAATAGGTAAGAATTCATCCTCAGTCCTAATATTCCACTGCCTGATTCAAAGATTCTAATAAATAGTTAAAATGTCACATATTATGTAGATCAACCACCTTAATTATACAATAAATTGCAACTATTTGCATTTGATTGTGTATATATTTCAGAAATTCTGTCGTATTAATTTGCTTAGTTAAATTGTTAATCTAAACTCATATATCTGTACCTATGGATGATCATCCTGGAAACTAAATAGACAAGATGCATATAAAATGAATGTTATTTTAAAAATCAATATTATGTCATTGATATATTCCTTATCTGTTTGCTTGTGACTCTGTTATGTGCAGCTTTTGATGAAAATATGAAGACAAAGAGTAAATCCAATAAAACAAGGATCATCTTGAGCACAGTGTTACCTGCAGGAATGCTGCTCCTGGGCCTAACTATGCTTGTTTGTCTTTGGAAAAAGAAGCAGCAGAAACATAGTATGTTGTTCACTCCTTAAAATTCTACCTCCTAACTAATGAAAAGTTCCGGCATAATGATTTTAGAGAACCATGAGTCAGGAAACTTTACATTACACTGGAAATCATAAGGAAATAAGAGAAATGGAGATAATTTGTCTTTTTAAATTCTTAACCACTTCCGCTCCAATCTGCAGGAATAAAAACAGGCATTGTGGACAGAAATGCATATGACAATACCAAGGAGGAGGAGCTAGAATTACCGTTGTTTGATTTTAACACAATTGCTTCTGCAACCGATAACTTCTCAATTAACAATAAACTCGGAGAAGGGGGATTTGGACCTGTTTTCAAGGTAGAAATCCTTTTAAAACCAATATTTTTAACATTGCATTGTGAAATTCTTGGCGTTTACTGCATCTCTCCAGTATATTTTCAAAAACAAAGTGACTCCATTTATGATATGGTGTGATACAGGGAACGTTGAAAGATGGACAAGAAATAGCTGTGAAGAGGCTCTCAAAGAATTCAAACCAGGGACTCAATGAGTTCAAGAACGAAGTCATGCATATTGCCAAACTTCAGCACCGGAATCTGGTGAAGCTTCTAGGATGCTGCATTGAATCAGAAGAGAAGATGTTAGTCTATGAGTTTATGCCTAACACGAGCTTGGACTGCTTCCTTTTTGGTTTGAATCTTCCCAAGACCTCATATACTAATTAGTTCACTATTATGATAAATTCTGAAGCCCTAGATTGAGCATTTATTTAGCATTGTTTTGCTAAATATTGTATATCTGATAAAAGGGTAAAATGTTGTCCAGATGAAAAACAGAGCAAGCTACTAGATTGGCCTGCGCGCTACCAAATTATCAATGGGATTGCTCGTGGACTCCTCTATCTTCACCAAGATTCAAGGCTAAGAATAATTCATAGAGATCTGAAAGCAGGGAACATTTTATTGGATTATGAAATGAATCCAAAAATTTCAGACTTTGGCCTTGCTAGAAGTTTTGGAGGAAATGAAACTGAAGCCAATACAAATAAAGTGGTGGGAACATAGTAAGTGGTACCTAAAATTGTATAACATTAAACACATGTCTATATCATGCTTTATCCCTGCAAGTTTGATTTAATATTTACAATATTATGCAGTGGTTACATGTCTCCAGAATATGCAATTGAAGGCATATACTCTGTGAAGTCCGATGTGTTTAGCTTTGGTGTTATAGTGCTAGAGATAGTTAGTGGGAAGAGGAACAGAGGATTCTCCCATGAAGACCATGATCTTAACCTTCTGGGACATGTAAGTATCAGTTCACATCAATATTTTCTTTCAATTCAATCAGAAAGCTACTATAACAACAATGGTATATATTGTATAGGCTTGGCAACTACATAAAGAAGGGAGGTCTATTGAACTGATTGACACATCATTAAGAAACTCATACAATCTATCTGAAGTGCTACGATCAGTTCATGTTGGTTTACTCTGTGTGCAAGGAAGTATAGAAGATAGGCCAAGCATGTCAGCTGTGGTCTATATGTTGGGTAGTGAAGGTGCATTGCCTGAGCCTAAGCTGCCTGGATTCTTCACAGAAAGGGATCTAATTGAACTTGAAGCCAATTCCACCACAAGAAAGCACACAGCTTCTTCTACTAATGGTCTTACCATTACAGTACTAGATGCAAGATAGATGGATACATATCTTGTTGGAGCGCTTGCTGTGATACTACTGCTGTCACATTAGCTAATAGTCTCATTAGATTTTAAATTATCTAATGTGTATTTTGCCTAAAAGTCTAGAGTTTCCACTAACTCAGAGGCGTGCTGCTTATATATATATATATATATATATATATATCAGATAAGGTTAGGTGTTGATTGTAAAAAAGAAAAAACCTCTACCTTTTTTGTAACTGATGTATATATATTATATGTTAATCAATAAAATATCAGTGTTTGAGCTCCTTCTCCTTACTTTCAATTTCATGCTCTGTATTCTTAGAGCAAATGAAATACTTTACTGATCTCTTTGTTTGGCATTTGAACTGTTTATAACATTTTTGATTGTAAAATTCAATTACAACAGGTTTGCAAAATATATCAAAATATAAATAAAAAATAAAGGACAATTCCTATGCATAATGGAACATGATGTAACGTGATCAAAAGTATTTGTTTATAAATATACACTATATGTAACTCAGTTGAATTACAATTTATTAAATCGCAGGAGTAATTTCATTTTTATTTTAATAAAATCACTATTCCTAAATGAAATATTAACAAGCTTTTCATATTTTGATTCAACCTCAAGCTATATTTAGATCACTTCTAACAATTAATTGCCTGAATTAAAGTCAACAAATTAAAGGAAATATATTTGGTTAGATTTATTTATAATAAAACTAAAATAATAAATTTTCTTCTATCTCAATCAATGGCAGCCATCCCACTCATAGCCGACTCTTATTTCTACCCACAGATTTTGATATCATTAGAACTGAATTGGGCCAGGACAAGCCCATCCCAAAAGTCAAACAAAATCAACCGAACACCAGTACCACCACCAGGCGCCATGAATATTAAACACGTCAGGACAGGCAGATAATGGGATATGGACTTGACTCCAAGTGGGTCCCATCAGAATGAGAAGCCACCCGAATTAGCTGTCAAGTGTCAAGTGTGAAAGCATTTAAAATTAAACAATGTACAATTATTTCTCTGCATGTGGTCCCATTATCTGGAAACTATCAACATTTACATAAAGGCCGCTAATAAATTGCTTGTTTGGTCGGTCATAAAAAGGCATGTTGCTAGGAAGGAAAGTCATGTCTCTATCACATGATTTTTTACGGTACTAACAGTTTCTCTTCCAGAAGTTGATATCGAAAAAAAAAAAAAAAAAAAAAAAAAACCGTGTAAACTAACAGTTTCCCTCTTCCAGAAGTTGAATATCGAAAAAAAAAAAAAAAAAAATAAGGGGAGAAAGGGATTTTAATATGTCAAGCTCTGAAATGTTTGCAGATTTTTTTCTAACGGCTTCCCTTTAAGAAAAAAAAAAAAAAAAAAAAAAGGGAGAAAGGGATTTTAATATGTCAAGCTCTGAAATGTTGCAATTTTTTCTAACGGCTCCTTTAGCTGGTCAGATTATGCTTACAAAGTTGTGTGAATGAAGAATCTATGGAGGGAATCGTCAAACTTCTTGCTTTTTGCTTCTATCTATTGCTAATTACAGCAATATCCACTTCAGCTGACACCATCAATACAATTCAATCAATTAGAGATGCAGACGCCATAGTTTCAGCCGGTGGAAGCTTTAAACTGGGATTTTTCAGTCCGGATAACTCGGCAACTAAATACTTGGGCATATGGTACAACAAAATAGCTGACCCAACTGTAGTTTGGGTTGCTAACAGAGAAATCGCCATCAACGATTCGTCGGGTGTTCTTCGGGTCAGTGATCAAGGAATTCTAGTCCTTGTCAATGGTAACGGGAGCATAATTTGGTCTTCTAACTCCACGAGACCTTCGAGGAAGCCTATCGCACAGCTATTGGATTCAGGAAACCTTATTGTTAAAAACGAGGGTGATGATAACCCAGAAAATTACTTGTGGCAGAGTTTTGATTACCCAGCTGATACATTGTTGCCCGGAATGAAGCTTGGATGGAATAGAGCAACGGGCTTCAGTCGATACATTTCATCATGGAAGACTCCCAATGATCCTGCTCGAGGTAATTTTACTAGTGGGATTGATCCCGGTGGTTATCCTGAGCTGATTGTAAGAGAGGGTTCAACTTTGCATTTTCGAGCTGGATCATGGAATGGTCTTCAGTTTACCGGCACACCTGGGTTAAGGCCAAACTCTATTTATACATATGAGTTTGTTATAAACGAGAAGGAGTGGTATTATATTTATCAGCTTCTTTCCAGCTCATTACTTTCAAGAATGGTGATAAATCAGAATGGCATTCTGCAACAGTTTACTTGGAATGAGCGAACAAAAAACTGGGGGATTTACCTTCAATTAGAAAATGATGATTGTGATCGATATGCTCTGTGTGGTGCATATGGTAGCTGCAATCTTAGTAATTCACCCAAATGCAGTTGCTTGACAGGATTTGAACCAAAAGTTCCAAAAGAATGGGGCACAGCGGATTGGTCAAGTGGTTGTGTTAGAAAGACTGCATTAAATTGCTCTGCAGATGGATTTCGAAAGTACACTCCAGGGAAGTTACCAGAAACACGAAATTCCTGGTTTGACAAGAGTATGAGTCTTGCGGAGTGCAGAATCACGTGCATGAAGAATTGCTCCTGCACAGCTTACGCAAATTTGGACATTAGAGGAGGAGGACGTGGTTGCTTGCTGTGGTTCAGTGGTCTGATTGATATGAGAGATTTTGGTGACAATGGCCAAGATATTTATATAAGGATGGCTGCATCAGAAATAGGTAAGAATTTATCGTCAGACCTAATAGTCTAGTGCCTGATTAAAAGTTTCTAATAAATAGTCAAAATGTCACATACTATGCAGATTAATCACCTAAATTAATTAAGTTGCATATTCTAAATAACTGAAGCCGAAGTAAGAAGGCAAAACATGAAAGTAACAAAAATTTCTTTATTCTTTTAGCCAGCAAAAAACAGTCTTAAGAACAGGAACGAATATACAATAAATAGCAACTATGTGTCATTTGGTTGGCGTATATATTTCAGAATTTCTGTCATATTAATTTGCTAGCATAAAGCAGTGTTAGTTACTTCTGGCAGTGGTATTGTTATTCTAGAATCATATCTACCATAGATGATCATCCTGGAAACTAAATAGACAAGATGCATGGAGAAAATGTTATTTTAAAAATGAATTTCATGTCATTGATCTATTCCTTGTTTGTCTGCCTGTGGCTATGGTATGTGCAGCTCTTGATGAAGATATGAAGACAAAGAGTAAATCCAACAAAATGAGGATCATTTTGAGCTCAGTGTTACCTGCAGCAGTGCTGATCCTGGGCCTAATTATCCTTTTGCGTGTTTGGAAAAAGAAGAAGCAGCAGAAACATAGTATGTTGTTCACTCCTTGAAACTCTTGAGTCCCAAATAATGAAAAGTTCAGGCATAATGATTTCAGAGAATCATGTATGAATAAACATCACTTTACACTGGAAATCACAAGGAAAATAAGAGAAGTAGAGATATTTTGTGTCTTTTCAATTTCTTATCCGTTTCGGCTCCAATCTGCAGGAATAAAAACAGGCATGGTGGAAAGAAATGCAAATGACAATACTGACACGGAGGACCTAGAATTACCATTGTTTGATTTTGCCACCATTGCTTCTGCAACCAATGACTTCTCGATTAACAATAAACTCGGAGAAGGAGGATTTGGACCTGTTTTCAGGGTAAAAACCAACATTTTTTACGGTTGCATTGTGAAATTCGAGGCATTTACTCTATTTCTCCATTTAGTTTTGTCAATAATAGTCAACCACCCAGATTTAGCCTCATCATGGATAAATTACTGATGGTTTAGGAAGTGTTCCACCAACTTTGGATGCTAAACAGATAAAGGCTGAGTAGTATTCAGTAATAAACCAAAAAACTCTGAATTTTGAAAAATGAAATTATGACTTTACTTATGTTATGGTGTGATTACTTACAGGGAATGTTGAAAGATGGGCAAGAAATAGCTGTGAAGAGGCTCTCAAAAGATTCTAACCAGGGACTCAATGAGTTCAAGAATGAAGTCATACATATTGCCAAACTTCAGCACCGGAATCTGGTGAAGCTTCTGGGATGCTGCATTCAATCAGATGAGAAGATGTTAATCTATGAGTTTATGCCTAACAAAAGCTTGGACTTCTTTATATTTGGTTTGAATCTTCTCAAGACCTTACATTTCAATTACTTTACAATTGCGACAGAAATTGCATAGCCCTATTGAGCAATTCTTTTAGTATTGTCTTGCCTCTTTTGCACCAGTGATATATTTTTTTCACTAAATGTCTTTAAGGCAATCTCAGTGGAAAGACCAATTGATAAATGCATCAACAGAATGGAGCATTTTATAGTACCTAAATTTGCACCAGTGTCTGGTTTCTTAAATGCCAACTGATAATGGCTTGTAGGGCTTCAGAGATTTTATCGTAGCAGATGTATCATACCAGTCTATTTTCAGGAATAGTCAGTCAATTGTTTATCAGAAGAACTTGTATATTTGATAACAAGGGTAAAACTGTTGGGCAGATCGAAGACAGAGCAAGATCCTAGATTGGCCTAAGCGCCACCATATTATCAATGGGATTGCTCGTGGACTCCTTTATCTTCACCAAGATTCAAGGCTAAGAATAATTCATAGAGATCTGAAAGCAGGGAACATTTTATTGGATTATGAAATGAATCCAAAAATTTCAGACTTTGGCCTCGCTAGAAGTTTTGGAGGAAATGAAACACAAGCCAACACAAGTAAGGTGGTGGGAACATAGTAAGTGTTACCTAAAATTGCATACACTACACGCATATGCTTACATAATGCCTTTGTTCCTGCAAGTTTGATTTAATGTTTGCAAATTTTCTGCAGTGGTTATATGTCACCAGAGTATGCGATTGATGGCGTCTACTCTGTGAAGTCCGATGTGTTTAGTTTTGGTGTTATAATGCTAGAGATAGTGAGTGGGAAGAGGAATAGAGGATTCACTCATGAAGACCATCACCTTAACCTTCTTGGACATGTAAGTATCACATCAATATCTTTCTTATGATTCCATTAGGAATTTACTGTAACAACAAATGATACCAATTGTATAGGCTTGGAGACTACATAAAGAAGGGAGGTCTATTGAACTGATTGATCCATCATTGAGAGGCTCGTGCAATCTATCTGAAGTGCTACGGTCAATTCACATTGGTTTACTTTGTGTGCAACGAAGTCTAAAACATAGGCCAAGCATGTCAGCTGTGGTTCTTATGTTGTGCGGTGATGATTCATTACCTGAGCCTCAGCTGCCTGGTTTCTTCGCTGAAAGGGATCTATTTGAAGGGAGTTCTTCGTCAAACCCGCAAAGCTCATCTTCTGCTAATTTTCTCACGGTTACGTTAGTAGAGGCACGATAGATGCATATCACGTTTACTAATCTGTTTGTTTGACAACTGAATTGGTTACAACAATTTTGCTTGTAAAATTCATGTACAGCAGGCTTGGGGGAAAAATAAAAATAATGGAGAGACCCAACTATAAAATTCTTCAAATCTCTAATATTACGACTTTTACACTAAAATTCTTCAATTTTAATGAGAATGATTGAGGTTAGAGGAACTCCCACTAGTGATTATCGTGGAAGTTTTTGGATATTGTTCTGGGCTGCGATTCTTACAGAGATGGCATTTGACATGTGGGTATACATATATTCTCTTTCATTTTCACCCCATTTAAAAAAAAAAAAAAAAAGAAAAATTGGATATTGTTACTGGGCTGCCGATTCTTTACAAGAGATGGCATTTGACAGTGGGTAATACCCATATATAATTCTCTTTTCATTTTCACCCCATTTAAAAAAAAAAAAACCCCATTTAAAAAAAAAAAAAAAAAGAAAAAGAAAAAGAAAAAGAAATTCCTCCTTTACCTATCAAAGCTAACATCAAGAAGGGCTTTATTTTTTATAATTAATTAAAAGAAATTTATATAATTATTATCTCAACCTCCTCCTAAATTAAATCTTGTTTAACACAACTTAATTGCAATCTCTTGATTAAAATTGTTAAACACTAATTCTCAACAAAAAAAAAAAAAAAAAGTTAAACAGTAAGTTAAAGAAAGCTTGTACTGTGTGTGTATATATATATGATTATCCAATTGTGCTTAGCTTCCAAGCGTGAAAGCCATTACAAAATGCAGATATTTCCTTGAACGTGGTCACTTCATTTTGGAACTAGTTCCCACAATTTAAATGCAAATACCTAATTTGGAAGACTAGAAATGGCATGTCTCCGTCACATTCGATTGGTGTTGCACGAAAATTATTTCTTTCAGCAATGTTGATGGCAGAAAAAACAAAAAGGAGCTTTACAATGTTGCAACTAGGATTAATTGCAATTTGCAACAAGTCTCAATTTGCCTCTACATTTGTGCACAATATACAAAATGTCCAATTTTTATCCTAAAAATAAATTATTTAATATAAATAATATATGATTAAAAAGTAATTAAATATTTATTCTCAATCAAATATAATTAGAAAAAATAATCAAAAATAATAATAATAAATATTTTTCTAACCAAATATTTCAATATAGTCAAAATTTTTTCTAATTCCATAAATTTTTTTTAAATCAAATATTTGCTAAATTATTTATAAATCAAATGCTGTAAATTTTTATAATTTTTATTATATTTTGAAATATTTTTTATTTCCAGTTTTAAATTTTTTAGGTAATTTTAATGAGTTAAACTATAAAAGAATTTTTTTAAAAAAATTGAGCATTTTGTCTTTTTGGTGCAAATTTAGGGAAAAAATTGTAAAAAAAAAATTAATTTTGGTAAATTATACATTGTATCCAAATTCAGACCTTTTTAAAAGAATCTATTTTGATGTATGAACAGAAAAAGTTTATAATAAATTTATAATTAAGTGGTTGAACTATCAATAATTTTACAATCAAGTGAAATTCACATATGTAGACAGTCAGATTTCATTGTAGGATAGCAGAGTCTCGTATTATCATTTTTGTGTTGTTGAATGGGGCGCCAACTAATAAGCCACGTCAAATCTTAAGTGAATTAAGAAAATAGAGGGTATGAAAGATAGGAGCATCAAAACGGGTTGGCATGTCGAGTTCAATACGGATTTGTTAACACGCAATACAACTAGGGGCACTATGAATACGACCCATTTAGTAATCATATCAAATTTATCAACACGAACACGATATAAAAATTAAACAGGTGACACGAACACGACATGTGCAACTCAACTAATATCATAAACACAGAAATGGGTGCTTGCTTTGGATTGATGACCTTACTGACATTCGACAATTAGATGAAAGCGGCCAAGATATTTACATAAGGATGGCTACATCAGAGTTGGGTATGAAATTATCTTCAGACTTCAAAGCCATTATCCAGTAATGAGATTATATTCATAACAACTTGTTAATATGTCATATAACATGAAAAACATAGATGATTAAGTCAAATTCAATGCAGGTAAGATAGGAAAAAAGATGCAAAAGAAGATACATAAATAACAATGTATTTAGTGGATCAGCCTGCATGAGAATGTTAATGTCAATCCAAGTCAAAGGCATAATCACTTGGCATACAAAACTTGGCATAAAAGAAAATAAATGTAATCAACTGAATATCCCAGCATACCTCCAGGACATAGCAATCCAAGCGGCACCAAGGCACAAAGAGCTGCTGGAGCCTAGATGTGTGCCGAGTAAGGGATATATAAAAAAATTTATAACACACAAGTCTGACAATTATATTTAAAGATATCAGAAAAAAAATCAAAAAGAAAACATGAAAAATTAAACAAACGCAAATCAGAAAAAAATAAAATCCCAGCACAACAGCCTATATTTTAATTGGAGTTCAAGAGAGAAGAGAATCGGACAAGAACATGGAAAACAAAAAAAGAAGAAAAAGAAAATAGGAGCCTTATATAGGAAGAGAAATGGAGACAGAGGCATATCTGGATAGCTGAATGGCTGCTAGATAGAGGCTGGATTGTAGGAAGTGACCAGGATGCAGCAGCTGGATGGAGGAGAGGAGGCTGGATCAGAGCACAACAATAGTTGGGTTCTGTTACTTTCATTTATTTATGTATTTATTTTATGTAAACAGGTGCTAGTTGTGTGGGGTCCCTCCAACGTGTGGGACCCACACACATTTGAAAAGAAAAAAATTAAAACAACACATTTTTGTTGTGGCAGTCAAAGTACCGAACAAAGAAGAAAAAAATTTTTTTGTTGAAATTTTAGACGCGTGATTAACGTATCCATTCGGTGTATGCGTTAATGACCGTTATAGGAGAAGGATTTTCCTAAATTACATACAAAAACATAAAATAAATATTATAATTTTAGGAAAGGGTTCCTAAAATTGGGAAAGAGAGAAAATATTGAGGATTGTAATTTTTTGGGGTGTTTTTTTTAAACACTTAGAGTGCCACTATTTTTGTAATCTCTTTTGTACCTACTATTTTTTAGTAGAAGAATTATTCGGAGTTTTTGTCCCGTGGATATAGCCCATAACAGTTGAAGGGTTCCTATTAAATTACCAAAAATAAATAATAATTATTAATTTATATTTTTTAAGGAATGGTATCACACTAAAATTGTGAGGTAAAAGAGGAGAACAATATTGAAGGATTGTAATTTTTTTGGGCGTGTTTTTTTTAAAGCACTTAAAGAGTGCCGGACATATATTTTTGTTAATCTCTTTTTTGTACCACTAATTTTTAGTAAGTACAAAAGCATTAATTCGGATTTTTTGTTACGCTGTGGATTATAAGCAGTGAATAAAGTTGAAAAGGGTGAAACTTCTTCAAGTAAAATTCTCCAGTCGTTTTCTTATTTCATCTGGCATTTACGGTAATTCAATTTTAATTTTTTTAACCAATGAGGTTATTATTTCTGGTGGATTCGATCGTCCAATATCCAATAACGAAATTTATTTTGGTCAATATCCAATACGAAATTATTGGAGGTACATATGATAATAGTAATTTTATTTTACTTTTACCACCGGTATTTTTTACAGGCCCACTCAGAATCAGTTATAATCCCAACAAGTTGAACAGCTTTCTATTCAAAGAAAACCCTAGGTGGGAACAAAAAGAAAGAAAGGTATGCTGTTCTTGCAGGCTAGGCGAAAGAAAATGGGGCACACCTTAGTGAGTTCACCTGCCTCTGGGCATCATAGGGGCAAGCCCTTGCACCCTTAGTAAGGCATACTTGAGATGAGTCTTTAATAACTATGCTCCAGGAAGATTGCAGACCAATTTGCTTTGCCATGCCAAAGTTATATTTGTCACTTCTATATGCACCAGTTCCCTCCAGTTAATGATGGATTAAACTGCAAGGTAACCAGATGGTCCTTGGTAATAACAAAATAGACAAGATATCCAGTCATCCATATTAATGAATCAACAGCTGTGGCAATAGGCGCATGATTTGGTAATACGCCAATTTGTCCACTATTAGTAGATAAAATGATTTCTTTCACTTCTGAATCCCAACACTTCTGCAATCCCACAACAATTCATTTTGGGGTCAGTACATTCAAAGATTTAAAGTCATTTGTTCTCCATTTCAAGTTTAGTAGCCTTCGCAGTAGCTTAATCAATATTATTACCACATAAAAAGGCTGGTTCAGGGAGACTATCTACATTCTCCGAAAGATCAATTTTAAAAACCTCTAATAGTTTCTGCTTAGACCGACATATTACCCGGAGAAAATAGGACTAAACAATTCGATTTGGGGTCGTACAGCAAAGATTTAAAAGTCATTTGTTCTCACATTTCTAAAGTTTGTAGCCTTCGCAGTTAGCTCAATCAATATTACCTACCACATAAAAAGGTTTTCTAAGTTTGTAGCCTTCGCAGTAGCTCATCAATATTACCTACCACATAAAAGGTCTGTTCAGGGAGACTATCTAACTCTCCGAAAAAGATCAATTTAAACCCTCTAATAGTTTCTGCTAGACCGACATATTTAGCCGGAGAAATAGGGCTAATTCCGAATTGACCTCTTGGAAATAGGGCTAATGCTGCTCCGTCCAGTGAAAAAAGCTTCCCCCGCCCCCTGAAAACGTTGCCAATACCTCCTACAGCAGCACCCTATGATATTGAGTTGTTTTTGTTGGCTTGGAAGTCTGCTCCTATTTTTCGTCTACCGGGCTCACATAGTCTTCTAAATAAAATGGAGCACCTAACAACGTATCTTCACAGACCAAGAACTACGAGATCGCCCAATGCAATAGTCATTAGACTGTCCTATTATAAATTTCTTTATTTGGTATGTTCCTTGATTTCTAATTACCTGGTGTTTATTATGATTTTAACACCCTCACGAACAATGGTGAAGGTATGAAGTTAAATGATAAATCAGAAGGGACAAAACAAGTCAGGATCATTGTCATGACAGTGACATCAGTTGGAATTCTCATCATATGCATAGCCTTAGCCAGATATGGTTGGCAAAAGAAGCAACAGAAAGAAAGTACGTTATTCATTCTCAGAAATTCTAAACAATTTCAATTACGAAGTATATAATTAATTTGATATTTGTAAAATCATTGGATAAGCTAATTGGGTAAGAATTCCTTATATCTGAGAACTTAAGGAAATTGTTATTCAATAGAAAATAGAGTAAGCTTGTTTGCATTGCATTTACTTGAGTTCCACTTTGCAGGAAAATTCAAATGTATTTGGGAAATTAGAGCAAATTATAAGGGCGAGAAGGAAGATACAGAATTAACATTGTTTGATTTGGATACCATTGCTCATGCAATGCAACCAATAAATTTTCTGCTAGCAATAAACTAGGAGAAGGGGGCTTCGGATCTGTTTTCAAGGTAATAACTCCATAAACAGATGAGATTTTTTGGGATCTGTTTACGGAAATGAGATGGTGGAATTATTTACAGGGAATGTTGAAGGATGGACAAGAAATAGCTGTGAAAAGACTCTCAGGAAATTCCAATCAAGGGTTTGATGAGTTCAAGAATGAAGTCATGCATATTGCCAAACTTCAGCGCCGGAATCTTGTGATGATTTTAGGATACTGCATTCAAGCTGATGAAAAGATGTTGATATATGAATTTATGCCCAACAAAAGCCTGGACTTCTTTATTTTTGGTTAGGTCTTCTCAAATCCCATATAAATTTAATTTAGTAGGTGCAGCTTTTTTTATGATAAATCGAAACATATTTTGTTAGAGTTATGTTTATCCTAGGTTCAGAAGCAACTAGCTATATCAATTGGCTAGAAAGGAGAAACTATGTACCTGAATTTTGTCCCATTCTTCTTCCTCAGAGACGTACAATGGCTTGCAGGAGAACAGGTTTCTCTGCATTAATAGAAACAAGTACTTGTCAACTTGTTTCAATTGAGAATTTACCAAAATGTACAATCATGCATTATAAACATTTAATATTTTTGGAAAAGGCTAAAATGAACTGACTTGGGGAAAGGCAGAGTAAGCTACTGAATTGGCCTATGCGCTGCCACATTATCAATGGGATTGCCCGTGGACTTCTTTATCTTGATCAAGATTCAAGGCTGCGAATAATCCATAGAGACTTGAAAGCAGGGAACATTTTATTAGATTATGAAATGAACCCAAAAATTTCAGACTTTGGCCTGGCTAGAAGTTTTGGAGGAAATGAAACTAAAGCAAACACAAAAAAGATGGTGGGAACTTAGTAAGTATCTCCAAGAATGCTATACATAAGTTTATATGAACTTATTTGTGTGTGTGTAAATGTAGTGAAATTTCGATTTAATGTTAAAAATTTCCTACAGTGGTTACATGTCAGCAGAGTATGCAATTGATGGACTCTACTCAGAAAAATCTTATGTTTTTAGCTTTGGTGTAATGGTGCTAGAGATTGTGAGCGGAGATCATTGAACTCGTTTCGTTTGATACTTGAATTTGGGACATAGTTTCTAGCATTTGCTCGGTAATTGTCAGCATAAGAATTTGCAGCACAATTTCTCGCTGAGGAATAGAATGCTGACTCGTATATGGTCGTGCAAACAATTCCAAAGGCATAGACGAAAGGTTCTGAAATTTGAAAAAACCTCAGGTTACTTATACAACTGTGGATGGATGAGATGTTTCTATTTTTAGCTCCTCTTTGTCAGGACCGCCATTATGCCATGAATGCATCATGCATCACCATTCACCAATTTAAGCACTACATAGAACACACTTGAGGAAAAGAAAATCACATGATGTCTTGATGCTTAAATTGGACCACCAATTTAGCAGAAGAGAAAATGGCAGTGAATGGTTACCGGTTGAGTTGGTAGTGGCGCTGTGGCGACTGTATGGCGGAGATCATTAACTAGTTCTTGGTGGGAAAGACCGGCTCCCACTCTTCAATTTTATTTGTTCATCTGCTGAGAGGGGAAAGTTTCCCTTGTTATTTGGAGACAAGGAAAAGTTCTTTGTCATTAGGAATGTTCATCAACGATCAATTGCTCAAACAACCTAATCAAATCAAAATCAAAGTTTTGAAAAATTTAATAGTTTGATTTGATTTGAGAAATATTCAAGACCAAAAAGTTGATTTGGTTTATGATTTTAACTATCGTTTTCAATTTTGCAAGCCGTCGTCCCTTGCTCATTGTTCGAAGTAATCAATTTCTCAGGAATTATTACGTTGAACGCAAATGGGAAACAAAAATCTGACTGTTGGAAATCGTAATCCCCCTTCTTCCCGCATTTACAATTACAATTGCTAACTAGGCTTAGAAAAAACTCAATTGAATGGAAGTGGGACACAAAGATTAACCTGAAAATATATTTCCCCCACAATGGGCATTTAAGTATCCTACCTACCAATATTTTCATATTGCAGGATCCCAAGTCTAATGTTCTCAATTATTTAAAATTTAAACATGGAGACCGTATGAACTTGATTTGCTAATGTATTAAGGTGCAAGTACAGCGACATAGTTGATTTTTCGTATTTGGTAATATAACCAGACCGGCATCTATTCATCAACATAACAAGCGGTCGAACAATTTCTCGCTGAGGAATAATGTGGAACAC